TACAATTCAGTAGCATTAAGAACACTCATCTTGCCGGGTGGTGATGGCACATGCCTATAATCCCAGCACTTGGGAGTCAGAGGTAGGTGGATCTCTGTGAGTTCAAGGCTAGCCTGGTCTATGGATCGAGTTCCAGGACAGCCAGAGCTACATAGAGAAACACTGTCTGTGGAAACAAAAACAAAAAACAAACCCCCACTCATTTATTGTTAACTACCACCACCACGCATTGCTAGAACACTATACTTCCAAATTGAAACGCTAACCTGTTAAACAACAATTCCCTAGTCTTCCTCCTGAGTCCTGGACAACCACCTCTGTGATTTTTGACTATTCTAAGTATCTCATATGAGGGAATCATACACTTTTCATTTTTTGTGCTGCCTTATTTCACTCTGCATAATGTCCTTAAGGCTGTTTATGGTGGAACATGTATCCCAATTATCTTCCTTTTAAAGGCTGAATAATGGTCCATTGCATGCATACATATGTGTACATACATATTGTATGGAGAGGTAGATATACACCCACAATTTGTCTATCTAGTTACCTGTCTGTTACCTGCTGAGTTGCTTGCATTTCCCCCCCCCAAAGAGGCATATTATTTAGCCCAGGCTAGCTCCAAATTCAAGTGCTAGGATTACAGATATTTACTTCCAAGCCCACTTGCTGCCATGTTTAACTCTTTTGAGTAATTCTGCTATCAATATCAATGTTCAGCATCTCTTTGACGACCTTATTGAGACAGAGTCTCTATGTAGTCTTGGTTGTCCTTGTTTTTGCTATGTAGACCAGGCTGGCTTCAAACTCACAGAGATTGTCCTGCCTCGGCCTCCCGAGTGCTGAGATTAAAGCTGTGCACTGGCCTGCACAGCCTAAATTATTAATTTATTTATTTTATATGTAGGGGCATTTTGACTGTGTGTAGGTATGGCCTGCTTGTAGGTCTGTGCACCACATGTATGCAGTGTCCCAGAGGTTAGAAGAAGATGTCTGATCCTGAGACTGAGCCTCCATGTGGGTGCTGGGAATTGAACTCAGGTTCTCTTGAAGAACAGTCTTAACTCTTAACTGCTGAACCATCTCTCCAGCCCTTCAGTTCTTTTGGTTATATAACAGTGTTAATGTTGGGAAATGTTGTGAAAAGCTTTGGCGGGTTTGAACCAAGGTGTTCTGTGGTGTGGCACCATGGAAAGTCACTCACACAGCAGACATGACATCCACGTGGAAAGTTTTATTATTAGAGAGAGAGAGAGAGAGAGAGAGAGAGAGAGAGAGAGAGAGAGAGAGAGAGAGAGAGGTGTGGCAGGCTACCTTTGGTGAGGCGGGTGTGTGTGTGTGTGTGTGTGTGTGTGTGTGTCTTTTTCTTTTTTCTTTTTCTTTTATTTCCAGACAGGGTTTCTCTGTGTAGTTTTGGTACCTGTTCTGGATCTCGCTCTGTAGACCAGGATGGCCTCAAACTTGCAGAAATCTGCCTGACTCTGCCTCTCAAGTGCTGGAATTATAGGTGTGCTCCACCACTGCTGCCTAGCAGAAGAGTTTTTTTCTTAAAGGGGACTTTACATAAGATAACATCCAGGGGGCTGGAGAGATGGCTCAGAGGTTAAGAGCACTGGCTCTTCTTCCAGAGGTGCTGAGTTCAATTCCCAGCAACCACATGGTGGCTCACAACCATCTATAATGAGATCTGGTGCCCTCTTCTAGTGTGCAAGCATACACACAGAACACTGTATACATAATAAATAAAATATTGAAAAAAAGAGATGACGTCCAGATACTGGGTGGGTCCCCAAGGGGTGATTCAGAATACTAAAACTAGAAATGAAATTACTGAGATAGATGGCAGTCTTATTTTTAATTTTTTTTGAGACTTTGTCTTGCTATGTAGATTAGAATGGCCTTGAATTTGCAGCAATCTTCTCCATTTCCTGAATGCTGGGATTTTAGGTAGAAGCCATCACACCCAGCTTGTTTTTGGCTTTCTGAAGAACTGCCAAATTCTTTCATACAGTATCTGCAGCCTTTACCTTTCTACCAACAGCACACTTGAGTACCAACTTCTCTTCATCCTCACCAATACTTGTTATTTGTGGACCTTTCTTTTCTCTTTTCGAAGCATGGCCCAGGTTGCTGTCAAGCACACAATCTTCCTGCTTTTGCTGGGGTTGTAGGTGTGCACTGCCATCCCAGCTTTTGTGTCTTGAAATAGTTGCCATCTTTGAAAGGATGATAAATGGCGCTGTTTACGGCACTGGTTACTGCGTGGAAAGGTCATGGTCATGACAGAGCCCAGTGTTAGTTTTCAGAGCTTTATTAGGAGGGAATGGTGGGAGGTGGGGGGGGTGACCCAGGCCTGGAGAGAGAGAAAGAATGTGGGGGGAAGAGTAGAGCAGAGCAGAGAGAGAGGATGGGGTCTGTGCCCGGCTTTTTAAGGTACATACATAGTCACCAGCGTACACTGATGATGCAAGACTCAAGACCCCAAACTGCGTATGTGCAGCTGTGAGGGCAGGATTCTAACATTCCAGACTTTTTGCTTATTATAAAACAGCAAGTCAATAGGAATAGGGGCATCGTTTCTCCCAGAAAAACTGCTTCCAGCTGACTTGGTGGGCCTTGGTTGGCTCTTAGGTGGTGTACTGAAGGGGGCCTTCCAAGGTACATAGGTGTCCTGGGATGCTGAGCTGTTCTGCTGCCCTGGAGCTGTCCATTCCTCCTGGCTTGGCACTCTGGCTGCTTTTGTGTCTGACAGAATGCTGGTGAGACAGAAAAAGCCTGAAGTAGATCCGACCTGCCCAGATGGATTTAAGCTGGTTTCTGGAGCTTGGGAAAAATTTTGAACATGTTAAGAAGCAACCATGAGCAAATTAGTGACCATTGTAGTGTTTAGTACTCTTCTTATATTGGTTAGTGTTAATGAGAGAGACAGAGAGATTGGAACATGTTTTTAAGCTTTATCAGAGACAGATTGTTTAAGGCACCTGTTTCCTTTACTAGTTTAGCATCCAGGAGACACAGGTGATCAATTGTTGAGAGCATTTAACAGTAATGGATGGTTATATTAAAGTCTGTTTTTGTAGAACCCAGACACTTTTGGGTCTGGGGGTGTAAATACCTTTTAGCTGTTACAGTTTCTTACTTGATGAATCCTGGACTCCAGTTCTGTGGTGGACCAAAGCAGCCATTAGCTGAGCAGTTAATTAGAAGAAGGAACTGGGAAGAGAAAAGCTTGTGGTGCATGAGAACTTATTTCTGTGGAATTAGGGACAAGGCAGAGAGCAGGGCCCTGTCTGTGTGCAAGGAGCAGAAGCACTGTGACAGTCTGGAGTGAGGCACGTGGAGGGAGCAATGGAATGAAAGCTTCTACCTTAGCTGGAAAATCTTTTCCCATTAAGTAACCCTGAAAGTGCAATTAAATCTGGGGTGGGGGGTAAGGCTGTCCTCCCTACCCCAACAATGGGGAAATGAGGAGAGGTGAGACCTCAAAACTCCCAGGACTGGGTTAGTGGCTCTGGTGTCCAGAAAGAAAGAAATGGGTCACTTCCATGCTGCATTCTGGGTTCCCTGCAAGCGAGCCTGTGGCCAAGCCTAGAGGTCTGCTGGAGGTCTTTTTCTGTCCCCCTGCCCCTTGGTGCCTGGGTGCACTCAGCTGACTGGTTGTCTTTCTAGGCGGCACTTTGAATAAGGCTCAATTGCTGGCCTGGCAGGGCACGCACTAGCCCACGTGGCCTCCCCCCACCCCCACCCCCCGCACTTAAAACAGGGATCCAGTGGCTTTCGGGAGCCAGTGTGTGGCAGCACTTGGCAATTCTGTTCTTGGGCTTTTTTCATCTCTCCCCTGGTACACCTTAAATGTCACAGCTGAAACTTCTGCCTGTGGGGTCAGGAGCCTTGCTCTCCAGATGCTTATGTTTTAGCCCTATGTCGGAGAGGTCTGGGGGACAAGAGATGGATTTTACTCCATGTCTTGAATTTTTTTTTTTTTTTTTTTTTTTTTTTTTTTTTTTTATGTCTGCTGACTTGGGGACAGCTTTAGGAAGACCCACCAGGAGGCAGGCTGTAAACTGATCTCTGGCTAAAGAGCCATCCTGATTACTGTAAACTTATTTGCATGGATCCTAGCCTGCTTTTAGACCCATCTGTGCCTCTCAGAGCAGCTTGAGAATGAGTGGGAGGAGTTAAGGTGAGAGCCCAATACCAGAGAGTGGAAATCGGAGCACAGAGCAGAGAACAGAAAAGATAAGGTTCTTTGGAGTCAGAGGTTCCTTAGGTTTAGGAATGCATGTGGTCAGGAGAAAGAGAGAGTCAGAAAGGGAGGGGCTTTAGCGCTTTAGAGCTTGGGTAAAAGCATGGGGATAAGGTAACTCTTTTCATTTGCCCATTTGCTGGCAGAAGTTAGATAATTCCCGTGAAATGTCGGGGTTGAAACAGCCAAATTTACTGGTATCCGCCCCTGTGTCCCATGGCTGCAGTGCTGAGAGAGAAAAATAAAAAATTAAAATAATAAATGGGATCCCCAGGCTCCTATTTCAAGTGTCCTTGAGAATAGGCACTCTGTGGACCAGCATTAACGGCACAAATTACCCAAACCATCATCATGATAAGGGTAAGGGCTGGGGTATATGTACTGGAGGACCCCCTGGGGGTCCCAGACAACATCCAATACTTTGTCAAGATTGAATGTGTCGTGGTACACAGCCGAGGACCCCCGGGGGTCTGGCACAAGGAATATAGCCCAGGCTGCAGTCACGGGAAACGGCAGGGGCTGGAAAGGGGAAAAACTCACCAATTTGGTTGGCAGGTATGGTGTGCGGGCAAACGAAAAAGTGGATCGGGCAGTCGCAGGTCCTTGGTGTAGGTTTCCGGCAATGCTCAGCCTCAGACGCTGAGTGAGTGGAATTTCCTATCCGAGTTACGGCACCAATGAAAAGATGATAAATGGCACTGGTTGCGGCACTGGTTACTGCTTGGAAAGGTCACGGTCATGACAGAACCCAGTGTTAGTTTTCAGAGCTTTATTAGGAGGGCAAAAGGGGGGAGAGAGGGGAGCCAGGCATGGAGAGAGAGAAAGATGGTGGCAGGGGGAGGGAGCAGAGCTGAGAGCAGAGAGAGAGGATGGGGTCTGCGCCCAGCTTTTTAAGGCGCGTACATAGTCACCAGCGCACACTGATGACTCAAGACCAGAGCTGCGTATGTGCAGGAGTGAGCGCAGGGTCCTAGCAGTCTTGCTGGGTGTTGTGGTTTTGATCTGCATTTCCTCGATGAGCGGCGTGCCTCACCACTGCGGTGCTGGTTCAGGACTCCTCACTTCCAGGGTACAGGCGGAATGAGGGAGATGTTGGTGTGAACAGGGATGGCATAGTTGCTACTTGTGTGGAAGGTGTTTCTCTAAACTCTGCGTGGCTCTTCTGTCCAGCATACTGGTAACCACTCCCCAGGGGCCTCAGTCTGAAAACTGATGGTGAAAGTGGCACCCTCCCTGTACAGAGCAGGGACCTTACAAAGGGGTGCCAGACCTGGGACCCCGGGGGTGTTACTGCACACAGAGAGAGCCAGGGAGGGGATGTAGTGGGAAAAGCACGGCAGTTTTACATTCCTGGGTCAAGGACAAGGGACCTGCACTGAGGGTGGGGGTGGGGCTGAGGCGGATAGAAAATGGTAGATGACATGAGCTGAGTCAGGGATTTGCCTTCAATTCTTAGTCTGTCCCAGGCCAAACTTTCCCAAGTGTGCCTGCAAACCCAGCCCTGCCTGCTCTGGTCCTGAAACATTTTCAGCCTTACCACAAACCTCTACGCCTACACCAAATGTCCCAGAACTATCTTGGTGATGTCATATTTCTCCTCTTCACAGTATTACTAAGGTGCAGGTAGTTACAAATTATCGATAGGGGAAGTAACCAGGTAGGCATATATGGGACCTTAGGGAAGCAACTCGAGTCTTCAAATTAAAGGCGTGCTTGCTATATGCACATCTGTACTGCTGTTCTCTTCCCACACTGGTGCTTGCATAGGGAATCACGGGGCACTGGTGCTGGCAGAGTGTCCTTCTGTTAGCTTGCAGTATCCTCTGTTGCCTTTTCTATGGTGTAAAAGAAAAATACTCTGGACTGCCTGGGAAGGTTCCCTCTTCTGTGACAGGAGTCCCTACACCCCCACCCCTGCCCTGCCTCTTCTCCCCTAGCATCCTGTGTGGTACATTTTGAGAGCACACAATGATGAATTTCCTTTTCCTTAATGTCAGTCTACGCTCAGAATAACAGGGGTGGATTATTTTCTAGAAAGCAAAGAACACAGGGAAGGAGAAGAAGTCGCCGTGTCGTGGGGATTAGAGAAGTAGCTAGAAGGACCCCTAAGTAGTTGTTAGGGTTCTAGGAAGAGGGGATCCCCTCTTGAAGCAGTGGGTGCAGGATGAAGTAGAGAGCAGAGCGGGCCTCCATGGAACCAGCCTTTTTCCATCTCTCCCCCTTTAGCTCCCCTCCTCTGGGGACTCTTGAGGATGCTTAGCACAGCTTCACTTCTGTTGTGTGATAAACACAAACACCCTTCCCGGAAGCAGCTTAGGAGACGAAAGGGTTTATGTGGCTCACAATTCCAGGATACAGTCCATTATTTCTGGCAAACTGAGGCAGGAGGCGGGAACCAAAAGCACCAGGTCCACAGTCAGGAGCAGAGGGAGACACTGCCGCTGTCTGGCTTCTCAATTAGCTTCCTTTATCACACTTGGCTCAGGGCCCAGCCCAGGAAATGGTTCTGTCCACATTCATGATGGGTCCTTCTATATCAATTACCAGTGAAGACAGTTCTCCACAGATCCGCCCTTAGGCCAACACAATCCTGATCTAGACAATTCCCCAAGTGACACTTTCTTCCCAGGTGACTCTAAATTGTGCCAGGTTGACAGAACTAACCAACACATCAGCCTTAGAAGGCTGCACGCAACACACTGAGCGATACAGATGACAGGCGGCATTAGCTAACCGCCAGCAAGCATGTAGCTAACGTCCCAGTAGCTGGAGACTGTCCCAGCGGAATGATCCGAACTCTGATCTTACTGGGTGGCGATGTCACCTCCAAAAGTAATGGACAAATCAATCTGGAGAGCAGGCAGAACTGGTAGGTGTCTAAAAGGCATGGAGCGGCTGCCATGCTCTCAAGTTAACTTTAACCCCTTTCCACTTTGGAAAATAAAGTGGGGGGATATATTCTCTCATTTATTTACTTAAGCATTTATTAGTGTGTCTGTGATGGGTGGGGGTGTGTACCACAGCGTATGTGGGAAGAACAGAGGACCACTGGGAGGAGTTGGTCCCTTCCTACAGTGTAGGTGCTGGGCATCGAACTCAGGTTGTCAGGTTTGCTAGCAAGTGCCTTTATCCCCTGAGCTGTCTTGTGGGCCCGTGGGGGATTGTTACTGCTGCTTTTCGAGACAGGGTTTCTCTGTGAAACAGCCCTGGCTGTCCTGGAACTCACTCTGTAGCCCAGAGATCCATCTGCCTCTGCCTCCCCAGGGCTGGGATTAAAGGCGTGTGCCACCACTGCCCGGCTGTAGTCACTATTCTTGACCTGTGTGTGTGTTTCTGAGTGTGTATATTCAACCATGTGTGTGTGTGGAGGCCAGAAGTGAAAGATCTCCACAGTGAAAATTTCAAAACACTAAAGGAGGAATTAAAGAAGACACTAGAAGATGAAAAGCTTCCCATGCTCATGAATCAGAAGGATTAATTTTGTGAAAAGGGCTATCTTACTAAAAGCAACCTGTAGCTTCCATACAATCTTCATAAAAATTCCAATGCCATTCATCATAGGAAAAAAAAAGCCAGGCATGGTGATACTCATACTGGGGAATCAGAGGCAGGCAGATCTCTGAGTTCAAGGCCAGCCCAGTCTACAAAGCAAGAGTTCCAGGACAGCCAGAGCTACACAGAGAAACCCTGTCTCAAAAACAACAACAACAACAACAAAACAAAACAAACAAACAAACAAGCAAACAAAAGAAATAGGAAAACCCTAAAAATTCATGTGGAAGCACAAAAGACCTAAACTAGCCAAAGCAATTCTGAGCAAAAGGAATCATTGCTGGAGGTATCACCACACCTGATTTCAACTTATATAACAGGGCCCTAGTAACAGAAACGCAATAATAGGCACAAAAACACACGACCAATCAAACAGAATAGAGGACCCACATATAGTCATGCAACTATAGCCACTTGATTTTTGACAGATTTTTTGTAGTTGCCTCTGTTCCAACTACAGATTGGTGAAAACAGCCTCTTCAAATGGTGTAGGAAAAGCCGCATGCACCAGGGTGAAACTGATCCCGGTTTTCATACTATACTGTTCCCACTATCAGATGAATGATGGTGATAATGAGCTGTTCCCACCATCAGATGAGTGATGTCCATAATCAACTGACTCTTAAAGAAGGGGTTTTGTTTGTTCATCTTGTTTGACTTTTTGAGACACAGTCTTATTGTGTACCCCTGGCTGGCCAGGAAGTCGCTTAGTAGATGAACTGGCCTCAAACCTGAGTGATCCTCTTGCCTCTGCTCCAACCACAAGAGTCTATACCAGCTAAAAATACCCAGCTCAAAATCAACCTCATTCCACAAAGAGGCCTTTCGTTACAAGATTTAGCGGCATAACTTTAGTTCTTGTAGCTGGCAGGAGCATTCAACAGGAGCGCAGAGCAGAGGATGGGGGACTGTAGATGAGGAATTCCAGGGCTCCTCAGGAGAGGGCGCCTGTCAACAAACAGGTCATTGTCACAATGCTCCACATCCATGAGTTAGGGTCATACCACCAGCCTCCTCTTTCTAACCCATCAACAAGTTCCGATGGTTTGAGCTCCAGTCATCTCTGTCACCTTTTCCCTGATCCCAGTCCTCCCAGCTGGATTCTTCTCTTTTATTCGACCTACTCCTCCAGTCTTCCAGACACAGAGAAGTTTTCTAAACTTTAATTTTTCAGTCCTAAATTAACTAATCAAGCTTTATTTTTTATAACTTTAAGAAAGTTTTCAAGAGTTTTATTTTTATGTGTAGGGGTGTTTTGCCTGCATACTTGTATGCCATGTGGATGCAGTGCCCTTGGTGGCCAGAAGAGGGCGTCAGATCTCCACAACTGGAGTTACAGACAGCTGTGAGGGGCCCTGTTGGTTCTGGGAATCAAATTTGGTTCCTCTTGAAGAGAAGGCAGAGCTCTTTAATATTTGTTTGTTTGTTTGTTTGTTTGTTTATTATGTATACAGTGTTCTGGCTGCGTGTTTGCCTGCAGGCCAGAAGAGGGCACCAGATCTCATTACAGATGGTTGTGAGCCACCATGTGGTTGCTGGGAATTGAACTCAGGACCTCTACAGCCAGTGCTCTTAACCGCTGAGCCATCTCTCCAGCCCCAAGGCAGAGCTCTTAACTGAGGAAGCCATCTCCCCGCCCATACTTTATTATCATTTTACGTATACCCGTGTATGGGTGTGCACAGGCCATACTAGACCAGTGGAAGTCAATCTTACAGAGTTGGTTCTCACCTTTACATAGACTTGAGATAGTTACTTCCGGCCCTCGGGCTTATATGACAAGTGCCTTTATCTATTGAGCCATCTTGCCTGCCCCACCGGCCACCTTTGAAATGGTTGTCTTTCGTTATCGCACAGAGTTGTAGTGTGGTCTAATACACCACACGGGCTTTGTTAGTTCTCTGCCTGTCTCCAAAGTCCCTGCCTTGCTAGCTCTCATTGTGTCTTGGAGGGAGCAGATACCTTTGTTCCTTTGTTTTTGAGTTTTTTAATTTATTTTTATGTTACATGTTTGGATGTTTTGCTTGCATGTATGTCTGTGCACCATACATGCATGCGGTGCTCAAGAGTGCCAGAAGAGGGCATCAGATCCCCTGGAAAATGGAGATGCCACGTGGGTCCTTCTACCTCTGGAAGAGCAGTCAGTGCTCTTAATGGCTGAGCCATCTCTCTAGCTCAAACAGGCCCAGATTTTTATGTAGGTACTAAGGACCTGAGCTCAGGTTCTCAAGCATTTTTTTACGGACTGAACAATCTCCATAGTCTCCATGGTTTTTAAATTTTTATTTGATTTTATTTTTTAGAAAGGGTTTCACTAAGTAGCCTTGGATAGCCTGGAACTTGCTCATCTCTATGTAGACGAGACTGGCCTTGAACTCACAGAGATCATCTACCTCTGCCTTTCAAGTGCTCAGGACTAAAGGTGTGCACCACCATGTCTGTCCTCATCCACAGTTTGTAAGAGAAAGGGATAACCAATATATTTGAAGTATTTCAGGGAAATTTTAGGAGCTTTGCATTTCCTATGAAGGTATGGGATTTGCAGCTTTTGAGTTCTACAGTATTTAAGGCATTTGTGGAGCTACTAGCATGCTTTAGTGAGATGAGCTCTCACTGTTATTTTAACCTTTGTTTGATTAGTGAGTCTGGGTGTCTTTTCAAATTTGAGTGACTATTGTCTTTGCTGTGAACTAGTTACGTTATTTTCCTTTTCTTATTTGGTCATAGAAATTTGCACTAAAAATTTCACTCACAAGAACATGGATCGATGGGAGAGTGCTTGCCTATTACGCACTAAGCCCTGGGCTCAGTCCCAGCACTGTGTAAAATGAGTCATAATGGTACAGTCATAAACCACGGGATGTGGCCATCACCTGTAATTCCAGCAAGAGGCAGATAGAGACAGGAGGACCAAAAGGTCCTGGTTACCTTACCTACATAGCAAGTTCAGCCTCTGAGATCCCCGAGACCCTGCCTCAATAAAACAAAAAACAAACAAAAACCAGTTATAATTGTGGCTTACCTTTTCACTTAATGACATCGTGCATATATTTTAATCTTAACATAGTAAAAAATGACCAGCTTTCTGTTATTGTGACAAATACCTGAGAAAGCGTCAACTTAAAGGAGGAAATATTTATTTTGGCTCAGGTTTTAGTCCATGGTGGGCTGGTTTCATTACTGTGGGCTGGCACAAGGCTGATCATCTTGGAGGGATCATTTGAGACAGGAAGTGGACAGGGATAACAGACATCCCTCAAAGGCATGCCTACAGAGATCTGTTCCCTCTAACAAGGCTCCAAGTCCTAACATTTCACCAGTTCCCAACAATGCCATGGAACTGTGGATCCATCAATAAAGTCAGAGTCCTCATGATCCCACTTCCTCAAAGCCCCACCTCTGAACACTACCGAGCATCATGAGCCTTTGGAGGTACTTTCTATCCATACACAATGCCCATCTCTATCTCTCCCTTTTGTTTATTTTAAGGGCTTCTCCCCTCTTCACAAGTTCATAAAGGTATTTCATGTTTTCTCCATAAGTTTTAAAATTTAAAACTAATTTAAGGCTTTCTTCACATTTAGGTATTTGATCTGCCTGAAACCTGGTATTGAGCAGAATTTTTCTTCACTATGGATAATCAGTTGCCCCAGTATTCACCTCCTCAGTGCTGGGATGGCAGAAATTTGCCACTATACCATGCTCTTTCTACGTTACAATTTTATTTGTGTATATATGTGTATATTTGTGTGTGTGGTGTGTATGTGCAAATGTGAGTGCCCATTCACACCCGGAAGTTAGAGGACAGCTTTGGGTGTCCTGTCGGTTCACTCTCTGTCCTGTTCTCTTAAGCCAGGCTCTCTCACTGAATGTGTCACTGGCCTGGTAGTTAGCAAGTCCAAGCAGTCCTCCTGTCTCTGCTCCACACAGTCCTTGGGTTACAGTGGCCGCCCAGTCACACGTGGCTTTTTCCATGGGTGAGGAGGATTTGAACTGACATCTGCAAGCACTCTTACCACTCAGCCATCTCCCCAGCTCCTAGTCTATTAATTCTCTAGAACTGGTCTATTATTCCTTCTGTGTGTCAAGTATACACTGGCAATTACTCCAGCTTTATGACATCATTAGCCTTTTTTTTTTTCTTTCTCTTTTGTTTTTTTCAAGACAGGGTTTCTCTATTTAACAGTCTTGACTGTCCTGGAATTTGCTTTGCTGGCCTCGAACTCACTGAGATCCGCCTTCATTTGCCTCCCACGTGCTGGGATTAAAGGCATGCGCCACCACTAACCGGCTAAGTTTCTTAAATAGATAACCATAAACAAGCCCCAGGTACTTTAAAGGCAGGGAGGGACTCAATAGAGCAGTCCTTACATTTGGATACTGAAATAGATAAAGAAGAAAAATAAAATGACAAATGCCTTGGGGACCTCAATTTCATTTATAAGAACAAATCGATTAGTTAGCATATCATTTTTACAACCCTTGTCACTTTGGAAATTGTGATCCTGGCATTTTATTACTTAGAAGCCAGGCAGCTGTGATGGGCCGGTGAGAGAAAAGATCGAAAGATACCATCCATGTAGAATGCGGTGGACTCATGCACCAGCAAATGTGAAATGATGAGTGACACCATCGCTAATAGTTGGGGCTGGACACAAGCAGGCTACAGTGACCTTCACGATGTTTTTTGGCACGTGGAACGGCCGCGGATATTTGGAAGTGCCTTACTTTGAATTTCCGGCTGCTCGGGACTACATCGCCACCGGCCTTCCCGAACTGCACGCCCAGCCCCCGGTACTCAGGACTTCGGAGAAGATTCCAGACCGGGTATCAGAAGCCGGGGAGGGATGGGGGCAGCACGGGATGCGCACGGGGACGGTGCTAGTCTGCACCCCATCCACGGCACCAGCGGTGCTTCTGGGAAACGTAGTCCTTTGCGGTATGCGGCGCCGGGGGCTGTCGGATAAGGGACTACGATTCCCTTCGGTCTTGCGCAAGCTTTGTGCAGCGCGCTTGCGCGGTGTGGGGGACGATGCCGCTATAGAGGCTTGTTTTGCTCTGGGTCCGATGTTGGCGAGCGTGCCCCGGCGGTCTGCTCTCTCTTGGGGAGGCTGGGGTGCAGGTAGGTGACGGCTCTCGCCTTCCCCATGCAGTGTCCGCGCTGTCACGGCCTCACTCCCTTGGGTTTCCCGGGGCGTGGTGGGCGGTGGGAAGCCACGGGCCGGAGAAGCGGGGCCTGCGTCGCCCCGGTGTCGCGCGGTCCCCGGCTTGGGTGGCGACCTCGCGGGCTGTGCCGGGGCCCCGGGGTTAGGCGGCGGGAGGGGAGGTCTGAGGGGCGGTCGCGGCCGGCTCTGCTCTCGGCGCGGCCACCAGGGGGAGCTGCGTTCGCTCTGGGTGGGTCGTGGCGCCTGTGCTCGCCAGGCCCGGGCTGGCGTGGGAACGCCCTAGGGCCGGGGTGGTGGAGCTGGCCAGAGAGAAGCCCCAACAGCCCCCGGGACTGGAGGCCCGACTGCCAGCCACCTTCGATGTAAGTCATTATCTTCGTTTCTTTCCTTTTTCTTTGTATTTTTGCGAACTGGTATGTGGATGTTCGTGACATCAGCACGCACCGCGGATCCGCGGCAGAGCCGGGATGGGAGCCCGGGTCTCCTGTCATCGGTGCCCTTTCCGCTGCTGGCACGCAGAGCTGTTAGTGGGTTTGTGTGTTGGTCACATCTGGGTCATGTGTTTTCGCACAGATGTGGAAGTCTCGATGCAGAGGGGCGCAGGGAGGATCGGGGAAGTTTTGAGTTCCGAGGGGAGAAATGGGTAGGTTTTACTGAGGTCTCTGGAGTGAGTGAAAGCTGAGGGAGCTGGGAGGCACAGGTGGGTTCTGGGGGGCGTGGTAAGTGTAGCACAGGGCCTGAGGGAGCTTCCTGGGGCGCTGGAAACCTACTGATGGACGTGGCGATAACACCGCTTGGGAACACCAGCCTGGCTGGTTCCAGTTCTCTAGTCCTACGCAACGCCCCTCCCCCCTGCAGAACCGTCGCATCCCTCTGCAGGGCAAATAGCTACCCTTTTATCACTGGGAAGAGAATTTTTAAAAGGCTGGTCAGGTGACCCCAGCCCTGTCAGTTTTGAGTTGGGGCACTGATGTGCGAGTCCCCACTTCATTTATTCTCTTTTATCCCTTTATAAAGCGCTGGCTTAGACTGAAACATACCGGTCGGTTTTCCTAGTCCTCTGATACTTGGGGCCGTAGCTTTGGTTTTGACGTTGCTGAAGACTGAACAGAACCTCTGGCTTATATGCTTTATCACTGAGCTCAAGTTAGCATTAATTTAAAAAAAAAAAAAGACTTCCGGTCAACTGCAAGGGAAAAGTCAGAAAATGCGGAAGTGAGAAGTGTGTTAGGCCGGACAGGGAGCCTGGTGTAGCCATCCTTTCTTAGTTGCTTGCTTCGTGCCCAGGCCTTGTTTCTTTCCCAGACCTGCCAATTACCTTCCTACTGCTCCGCTGGCTCCTGTGCCTCGTGCTTGTCAGATCCCAGACACACGGAAGATGGTGTCCTCCTTGTGTTCATTGTGAAAAAACAGTAACTTTATACTCTCAGAGCGGTGCTCCTTTTTTTTTTTTTTTTTTTTTTAAGGCAATGGGAGTGTTCAAGATAATGGGGCACTGTTCCCCATACCCTTCCTTGTAGAAACTGACTTTGTCTGGAAGGATAGGGGAGTCAGGATAGGTCACTACAAACCCTATTTTATCTCATCAACCACTCGGAAAACTCATTTTTGTCACAACAGGGTCATTGTTCCCACAGTCTTTGTGTACACTCTACAGGTTCTGCTTCATAATCTATGGCGGAGAAATCTGCCTCATATAGGTTCTTAGATGTGGGAGACGCTTTGCCTGTTCTTCTTGGTGTGTTTGGTGTTGTGAATGGGTTCCCTTGGCCTCCTCCCTCTCCACCGCCCCTAACCCCCTCTTGCCTATTTTTAAAGTGTCACTAATCTTCCTCTTCCAGATGCCAGGTCTGTTTATAGCCTTCGTGAGGCCTCTGGAACACCGCCACTGTCTTTGCTTAGTAAACTGGTTTTGTTTATAGTGTATGTCATCATTGACTAGGTGCTGTTCCCTTCCACCCCTAGACAGGGTTTCTCTGTATAGCCCTGGCTGTCCTGAACTCAAGCTATAGACTGGGCTGGCCTCAAACTCACAGAGATTCGCCTGCCTCTGCCTCTCGAGTGCTGGGATTAAAGGCGTGCGCCACTATGCCTGGCTAGGTAATTTTTCTTGATGCCAGAATACTGTCCTTTTTCCTTTAAAAAGCGAAGTGATATTTTGCTGCGGATATCACTCTATAAATAAAACACTGATTGGCCAGTAGCCTGGCAGGAAGTATAGGCGGGACTAGCAGAGAGGAGAGAGGAAAAGGAGAGGAAGGCAGAGGGGAGGAGACACCAGCTGATGTTCAGGGAGCATCATGTAGAGGCAACAGGTAAAGCCACGGAACACGTGGCAACATATAGATTAACAGAAATGGGCTTAGTATAATCGTAAGAGCTAGACAATGGTAGGCCTGAGCTAATGGCCGAGCAGTTTAAATAATATAAGCATCTGTGTGTTTATTTTATAAGTGGGCTCCGAGACTAGCGGGGCTTGGTGCGAGCTGGAGAGAAATTCTCCAGCTACAATATTTAGAGTCATTTATGGCTGTAGTGATAAGAAAGTGTCAATTCTTTGTCCCTTCTTCCTGTTGTAAAGGACTTTGGCATATGCTTAAGCATTAGGAAATCATGTCTGCTTTTGTAAATTTTTAATTTCAGAAATTCTGAAGTGAACGGAAGAGGCTGAGCTCTGGTACCCCACTTGGTGAAGATGAAGGATATTGACATGGGAAAGGAGTACATCATCCCCAGTCCTGGGTACAGAAGTGTCAGGGAGAGAAGCAGTGGGTCTGGGCCACTCAGAGACCGCGAGGAATCCAGGTTCCAGAGATCAAGACCGGTTAGTGCCTCCCTCCCCTTCCTTCCTTCCGTTTCTTACCTGCTTGTTGGACTACACCGTGTCTCCTTTTTTCCTATGATACATATTTTATAATTTTATTTTTCTGTATTAGCTTGAGGCCAATGTTCAGAATTTATGATTCCTTAGACCCGGAGTGTAGCTCAGTGGTAGAGGGTGTGCTTAGCATGCCTGAGGCCCTGGGTTCGGTCCCCAGCATCATAAGAAAGAGCTGGTTCAGTTAATGGAATGAGAAGTTTGTCTTGTGCCACCCATCGGTCTGTTTCTTCTTTAGTGATACTGTGTGTGTGTGTGTGTGTGTGTGTGTGTGTGTGTGTGTGAGAGAGAGAGACAGAGACAGAGACAGAGACAGAGACAGACAGACAGACAGGGTCACACTGTGCAGCCTGGCTAGCCTGGAACTCTCTATGTAGACCCTCTGTAGAGATCTGCCGTCTTCTGTATCACCATGCCTGCCTCCCCTCTTTTTCATTGACTCCATTTTCATACCTGTTGAAAATCCCTTGATTAAGAAGAGGTGTGGGGATGTAGCTAAGTGGTGGAGCTCTTGCCTGTGAGTAGAAAGCCCTGGCTGGGTTCAGCCCCCATTACTGAAAGAAGAAAGAGACACATAGGCTGGTGTAGGGAGGGTAAAGCCGAGGACAGAGGGAATATGAGCCATCCCGTTGCTTTCGTGGGCTTCGTTTTGTTTCTCCTCCTGTTTTTGTGTTTTGTTCTTAAAATAGGGTTGTTTTGCCAGGCATGCCTTCAATCCCAGCACTTGGAGGTAGAAGCCTGAGGCTCTCATAAGTTTGAGACCAGCCTGGTCTACATGACAAGTTTCAGGCTAGCCGGGGCTACAAAGAGAGATCCTGTGTCCTAGTTAGGGTGACTCTTGCTGCGATGAAACACCATGACCAAAGCAAGTTGGGGAGGAAAGTGTGTATTTTCTAGAGTTGCAGAAGCCAGTAGAGCGGAAGGTGTCTAGGTTTAGGAAGATGAGGTTTCTGTTCAGGCCTTTGCCGGGTGAACACTTGGGGCTGTGGCCTTTGGAGCTGACACTGGTGTCTCATTAGTCTGAAGTGGTTTGGCTCTTCTGTGGATGAAGACTGTTGCTTACTCCTCAATGTTTTCTTGCTGAAGGGTCTTCTCTGTTCCCACTGTGGTATAGAATCCCTTATCATTCAGTACCTAGTGTTTCTTGATACCTTTTTTTTTGGTTTTTCGAGACAGGGTTTCTCTGTGTAGCTTTGCGCCTCTCCTGGATCTTGCTCTGTAGACCAGGCCGGCCTCGAACTCACAGAGATCCGCCTGCCTCTGCCTCCCGAGTACTGGGATTAAAGGCGTGCGCCACCACCGCCTGGCCTTTCCTGGCCTTTCCTTGTGTTCTTACCCACATTGGGGGTGGTGGTTGTTTTTGTGGTGGCCAGTCTGATAGACGCTTCTGATACCTCATTGTGGTTTTCATTTGCATTTCCCTAATGGCTACTGGCCTTGAACTAAAACAGAGATTTTAAAGTCTCATTTTGTTTTGACTCTAGCACTGAGAATTGACCCTAGTTTTCTTGTATGCTGGGCTGTTTCTTCAGCCTCCACTTGCTCTGTAGTTCAGGCAGACTTCGAACTTACCTCCCAGGTATCTGGCCAGTGCTACCAGGCCTTACTGTCTTATCTGTCCACCTGACTGCATCCAACTTTTGATCTTCCTGCCTTAGCCTCCCGAAGAATGGAATTAGAGGCGTGTGACACCACCTTGCTCTGATAATTCACTTTTATTTTCCTTTTGGTTTTTGAGAGAGGGTCTCATGTAGCCAAGGCCAGCCTTGAACTCACACTATAGCTGAGGCTGATCTTTAAACTCCTGATACTCCTGCCTCTGT